TCAGCACTGGGACTTCTTTTTTTTTGGGGGGGGGGGAGGGAAGGCAGTCTTGGGGCCTGAATTTAGGGCCTGGGCACTGTCCCTGAGCTTCTTTTGCTCAAGGACAGCGCTCTATCTCTTGAGCCACAGCACTGCTTCCAGCTTATTCTCTTTAGGTGGTACTAAGGAATTGAACCCAGGGCTTCATGCAGGCTAGGTAAGCACTCTACCACTGAGCCACTCTCCCAGCCTCATCCCTGACATTTCTTAAAGCATGTGTAGGGCTGGGAAGATGGCTCAGTGGTTCAATTCCTCAGCACCACATAAGCAGAAAAAGCCAGAAGTGGCATTGTGGCTCAAGTGGTTGAGTGCTAGCCTTGAGCTGAAGAGCTGAAAGACAGTGTCCAGGCCCAGAGTTCAGGCCCCATGACATAAAAATCCATGTGTAATATCCACTTTCCAAACCAAATGGTAATCAGGTCTGATTCTTTTTAACTTCCAAGACTAGACCAGATGGGTGCTGTTAGGGTGATGTGGCTGGCATTGGCCCTGTATCTTTGCCAGCGGTTCTCCTGCCAGATGCCGGTGGCTCACGCCTATAATCCTAGCTACTCAGAAGGCTGAGATCTGAGGATCACGGTTCAAAGCCAGCCCAGGCAGGAAAGTCCATCAGACTCTGAGCTGAAGAGCTGAGAGACAACACCAAGCCCAGAGTTCAAGCTCCACGACCAACCAAAAAAAAAGGTTCTCCTTATGGTTTATTTTTTATTTTTTGTCAGTAATGGGGCTTGAACTCAGGGCCTGGGTATTGTCCCCTGAGCCTTCCTGCTCCAGGTTAGCACTCTACCACTTTGAGCCACAGCTCTATTTCCAGTTTTCTGGTGGTTAAGTGGAGATAAGAGTCTCACAGACTTTCCTGCCTGGGCTGGCTTTAGTAGCCTCCTTTAGTAGCCTCCTTAGTAGCTAGGATTACAGGCATGAGCCACCAGTGCATGGCTTTCATTATGGTTTTGATTTGCATTTTCCTAATGACAAATAAGGCCTTTAAATATAATCATTGGCCATTCAGATTTGTCTTTCTGTGAAATGCCTATTTCAGCGTTCTTTTTTTACTCATTTAATTTAGGGACTGGGAATGCAATGCAGGGCCTGCTGCACCCCATCACTGAGCTTCACTCTAGCCTCTACTGCTCCTCTTAAAACTAGTTTTTTGTTTTTGTTGTTGTTGTTTTTTGTCGGCCATGGCACCTGAACTCTGGGCCTGAGTTCTGTCCTTCAGCTCTTCAGCTCAAGGCTAGCATTCTACCACTTGAGCCACAGCACCACTTCTGGCCTTTTCTGTTTATATGGTGCTGAGGAATTGAACCCAGGGCCTCATGCATGCAAGGCAAGCACTCTACCACTGAGCCACCTTCCCAGCCCCTAGATATACAGTTATAACCTACATTATATAGGCTCTTTGTTCGTCAACTCATTTATGTTATACTGAACCCAAAAGGCCAACTCTTGGCAACTACCCTACCACTTAAGCCATGCCCCCAGTCCTTTTCCTGTTTTTCTGATGGCATCTCATGCTTTTTGCCCATGCTTGTGTGGATCTATATCACCTCTAGTCCTTACTTTATCAATGAGGTCTCCTATGGATGCCCCAAAGCTGGACTGAGCTACAATTTTCCTATTTCTGCTATATAGCTGGGATGGCATCCATGCATCACCACTCTCAGCTTCTGCAACGCAGTCTTGCAAATATTTTTCCTGGGCTGGCTTTACATGACGTTCCTCCTGATCACCACCTTCCCAGTAGCAGGGATTACAGATGTGCATGACCACATCTGGCTTTATTCACATTCTGGCCCCAAAGGCCTTGATATTCAGGCTAGGCTTGTTCCAGTTTTGTTTTTGGGTCCAGTCGTGGGGCCTGAACTCTGGGCCTGGGCGCTGTCCCTCAGCTCTTCAGCTCAAGGCTAGCGCTGTACCACTTGAGCCACAGCGCCACTTCCGGCTTTTTTCTTTTTGCTTATGTGGTGCTGAGGAATCGAACCCAGGGCCTCATGCATGCAAGGCAAGCACTCTACCACTGAGCCACCTTCCCAGTCCCCCAGTTTTGCTTTTGTGATGAGCATGCTAAGCAAGCGTTTACCATTGAGCTATGTCCTCAGCCTCCACTCCAGTGTCTTAATTCCTTGGTCCTGCTTTATTTGTGTCAGTTCAATGTGGCTATTCATAAAGCCATCCTGTCTGTAATAAGGCTAAATCCTAGGGACAGTCTTTTATTTCTTCATTTTCTCCACAGGCCTCCCTGGCTGGAGGCCTCCCTACCTTCTAATTTGCTGCAACGTTCTTCCAGAGTCAACACTTTCTGCCGATCTTCTTCCCATGAAAGCAGCTGTCTTTGATGCACCGCGACCATATCATTGAGCTCTTTATCTCGGTCTTTTAATTCTCCAATGAGCAGCTGCAGCTCCTTCCGTTGTTTCTCAATAGTGGAATTCTCAACTTCTGACCCTGTGTTCTAAAAACAGTAGGTGGTTTTACATCCAATTAAAATTCAGTAACATATATGGGCTGAAGTATATTTTCTAAAGAATTATATTCTTTTGCTAATTCTGAAGTTAAATCTTAATTACTGTTAAAAACAAGGCATCAAATTCTATATGTTTAAAACAAGTTCAAACCTAGCATGCACTGTCTCTATCATTTTCTGTCATACCTCATACAATTCTAAAAAAATTAAAATTGGCAGTGTTTCCAAAGCCTCCACTGGCTCATCACAAACGTATTTCTGATCACTGCCCTTCAGCTTGTCAATTTTCTGTTTCCAATTAACACTGTCATCCCCTACCTTGCACAGGCAATTTGTGTGCACGTGTGTGTGTGTGTGTGTGTGTGTAAGAAGGCTTGAGCTCAGGGTCTGGATGCTGTCCCTTACTTTCTTCTGCTCAAGGCTGGCACTCTATCAGTTGAGCCACAGCTCCATTTCTGTCTTTTGGTGGTAAGTCTTACAAACTTAACTGAGGCTGGCTTTGAGCCCCGACCCTCAGATCTCAGCCTCCTGAGTAGGTTGAGACACCAGCACCAGGCCCCTAAACTACATTTTGAATCATGGTCCTACTGAATGACTGTAGTTCCTGTCCATGAAGTGTTAGTTTAAAAGGTCACTAGAGACCCGTGTGCATGATTCCTGCTTCTTGGAAAACTAGATTCGTAACTGGTGACGAGGACTTCACTTTAGCGACTAGTAACTGAACACACCAAATGGAATTTGGAGACAAACGATGCCAAGTCCCAGGACGTCGGCCGAGCACGAAGCCGTGCACTCATTCCTTCAACCAGTAAGACGCGGGGCGGGCGGCTGCGGGCCCGCCGGGCCGGGCCGCGGCTGCGGGGCGGAGACGCGGGCGGCCGCCGTGCGCGCTCGGCGCCCCCCCGCCCCCTCGGCGGCCGCGGACCCGCGCGCGCCCGGCGCGTCCGGCCCGGGACGGAGAGCGACGGCCGCGGCGGGCGTCCCCGCCTCGCCGGTGGGCGGGTCCGGCCGGGGGGAAGGACGCCGGTCTCCACCTCGCACCGGGCCGGGGCGGGCGGCCGAGCCCCGGCGTCCGCGCGCGGGGCAGAGCCGCGGACTCCGCGGGCCGGCGCCGCTCACCTGGCGCACGGCGAGGTAGGTCGCCGACGGGTTCATAGGTGTCGCCTCAGCCCGGACAAAGTCGGTGCGGGCAGCGTCACCTCAGAAACGCCATAGACGCGCCTGGCCGCAGCGGCGCGGGCGAGCCCGGAGCGCCGGAGCTCCGCGCCCTGGTCGGCCCACACGAGCCGGCCCTAAACGGCCGGCCCGGCGCGAACCCGCCGAGGGCGCCTGCCTCGCCCACGGCGGCGCGCGGGGGCCGCCCCGGGCCTCGCGAGACTGGCGCTGGGTCTCGCGGCCCTTGGCGCCGCGCGCCGGCCCCGCCCCCCCCCGCGCCGGCCCCGCCCCCCCGCGCCGGCCCCGCCCCCCCCCGCGCCGGCCCCGCCCCCCCGCGCCGGCCCCGCCCCCCCGCGCCGGCCCCGCCCCCCCGCGCCGGCCCCGCCTTGGAGCCGGAAGAGCCCGCCCTCCTCCGCTACCCACTTCCACACGAAGCCGGTTCATTTCCAGGCGCTCCTCTGCACCCGCCTGGTACTGGGCAGCATCTGGCGTTTGAGCGCTGGGGGCCGCGCCGAGTCCTGGGATAATGGTTGCCGGCCTGCTCTTGAGCAGCGAGAGAACCCCCGCACTGCGTCCTGGGGCCGGTGGCTCACGCCTGCCATCCCGGCTACGCGGCGGAGGCTGAGAGCTGAGGCTCGCAGTTCAAAGCCAGCTCCGGCACGAAAGTCCGTGAGGCTTTCCGGGAAGCCGGAAGTGGCGCTGTGGCTCAGGTGGTAGAGCGCTCGCCTTGAGCTGAAGAGCTGAGGGACAGCGCCCAGGCCCAGAGTTCAAGACCCACAGAGGACCGAGCTGGAGCCAGCCTAGGTTACACAGCCAAAAAGCAAACGCCGTATTTTGCATGTGAAGCTGCAGTGGCAGTGAAGGCTGCTTACAGGTCATCCTCCAAACCGAACATCTTGGTGTAATCCCAGTTACTCCAGTGGCAGGAATGGGGGGGATCGCTGTTCTAGCCTGTCCTCAGCTACTTGAGAAGTCTAAGTGGAATGAACATCCTGGTCTGAAATTCAGGTTAGGATCCTGGTCTGAGGGTGGCCCAGGGGGAAAAAAACACTAAGAACAAACCTGAAAAATAAAGAACTAGGGGCATTTCTCAAGTAGGAAAGCACCTACGCAAGTTCAAAGCCCAGTACTGCCAAAAGAAAAAAGAAAACCACACCTAAGATGAAGAGAATGAATTAAAGTCAAGCCTTGAAATAGGGAAATGTTTATTAGACATCTTTTCTAAGACATTCTTTCAAACACCCTTCCACTCGATTGTATTTGCACAGCAACAATCGCTTCATGGGTTCCAGGTCGCTCTTCTCCCCCACTCAATTTCTTAAGGTTATCTACAGCAATTCTGAACACGTGTTTTTTCAATTTATAGCACCTTAAAGTTTAATCCAATGCATTCATTAAAATTGTTTCTCTTGTGAGAAAACTGTTCCAGTTATTTGCCAGACCATACACTGAGCTGGTACACATTTTTAAGTGGTTAGCAGACTTTCACTCAGATACAGCAGAATAAGAACTCCCAGCATCCCTGATGACTTTCCATTCAGTACACAACAATGATGATGTCCTTTTATTTTTTGTAGAACTGAGGATTGAACCTGGCCTAGATACTGGGCAGGTGCGTGCTCTACCGCTTGAGCCTCAGTCCTAGTCTACAACGATAAGATCTAAAATGGATTTGGGGTCTGCCTAACTTACCACAACCAAACATGTTTCTAAGAAATTTCTGGAAAATCGCATCTTTATGTATAATGCACCATCACTTTGTAATCACCTTCTAATTGTTCCTATCATTTTTGCAGTTTTTGATGTTAAAAATAACATTTTGATAAACACTATAAATTTTATGCATATATCTATGACATACCTTACTGGGTAAAACAATGCACATGGTTTTAAGGCTTTTAATATACTTTTACACCAAATAATCTCTAAAACAGAATGAGTGCTATCAGCAGTATATTATTACACCACAAAGTAGACATTTTTTGGTAATAATGAAACAAATTCAACCACAAACTATTAAGATTCTCATTCATCTCCACATCGCTACCCCAAAGAAGCAAAGAGGTATTAGTCTTAAGGAAACTACATTCAGAGCTTTAAAAAATTCACTCAGCTTTCAATCAAATAACCACAGAAATGCTTCCCACAAACCCTCAAAAAGTCTTGAGTGTGGAGTGTTATCTCAGTGGCAGAGCGCTTGCATGACCTGTACAAGACCCTGGATCCAATCCCCAGCACCGAGGGGGGAGGGAGTCTACAGTGTTTTTCCAAAATAAGTTAAAAAGCAAGTCAGTACCAAGTGACTAAAATTTTTTATTTGACTAAATTCTGAATCATGCATAAGCATGACAGTCTCTCTTATTTATTAGACTTTGGCAATAAAAAAAAAACCCAAGCAGCCTGTACAGAGCAGTGAAAACACCAAGGAGAGAGCAGTGTGCACTTGACTGTAGGATAAATAGCCGCTCTCTCCCTTGGGCCATGTCAACTCAGTTCAGATCATTAAATACAAATTCGTCTTCAAAGTCACTTCTTTACTTCTCCAAGGTCCTCGATACTGTCATCATCCACCTATAAGACAGGTAATTGCAGCTCATGAGTCAGTGTGCCCAGTAAGAAAATGAGGAAGCAATGTGCCTTAAGAACTTGTTTCCTAGGCCACGTGCCAGTGGTTCACCTGTCATCGTAAGTACTCAAGAGGCTGAGATCTGAGGACCACAACTCCAAGCCAAACTGTGAGACTCTTATCTCTGATTAAGCAGAAAAAAAAAAAACCTGGAAGAGGAGCTACGGCTTAAGTGATAGAGTGCTGGTCTTGAGCAAAAGCTCAGAGACAGCACCTAGGCACTGAGTTTAAGCCCCAAGACTGGCAATAAAAAACAAGACCAAAACACTGATGAAAATGAACCAAGCAACTCAAAGGCAGCAATGGGAGGGAAGGAGGGAGTGAGAGGGAAAGAGGGAATAGCTTATACTAAGCAAAAGAAAAGAAATGTACATTTCACCCGACGTAGAATAGTTGTATTGTCAAAGCTCATAGAATTCACAAACTTTATAGTCCATGGTGACAATTTGCCTTGTGAAGGTTAAAATGTGACTTTTAAGTATTGTAATTTCACAATACTGTGAAATTTATGTAATCACTTAATCTCGATAATAAATTAAAAAAAAACAACAAACTCCAAAACAACCCATTTTGTCAGGCATGTAACGTTCTGTGTACTTGCCTCTGGCCACTTTTCCTGAATGACGTCAATGATGTCGTCTGTAAAGTCCCCCTGAATGATGATTTCATCCTCCCCTGTTACTGAGGCACCGCAGGAGAATTTCTGAGCAAAAAATCTTTGTGCTTCTTTAAGATCAATTTCTGTTTTTTTTAAAAAAAGGGAAAGATTATTGCAACTGTACACCAAAAACATTTTTACATTTAAGCTTCACTTAAAATTCATAAAGCAGACAGTGTTAATGGATTTCATATTCCTTTCAGAACAACACAATAATTCAAAGTCAAAGCAAGCCTTCATACAGAAAAGCAGCAATACTCACATGACCCTAGCTCTACACAAAAAAACCAAAACCAGCAGAAACACAGGACTTCTAGCATTCTAGTACCCCATATACATTCCTAAGTAAGTACAAAGCTCTCATCCTATGTAAATCCCTTAGAGATGGATGTGGTAGCCCTGGCCTGTGAGCACAGTTCCTTAGGAGCAAATGAATGTGAGCCCCACGCCAGCCTGAGCAATACAGCAAGATCACATCTTCAAACCAACCAAATGACCCACTAAAAGGAATCACAGAAAGGAAAATGTACCAGTACCCTTCTACAGAAGTTTTCCATCTCTCCAAAATGTGATTCTGAAACTATAATTAGAAATGCAAAGCTTTATTTAGTATCTTAGCAAAATGAGTTCCACCGCAGGTGGTCTGGAGATATAGCTTAGTGACAGAGCACTTGCTTAGCATGCCAGAGGCCCTGGCTTGATCCTTAGCATTGAGGGGTGAGGGCCACAACCGGTATTTTCAGGGTATCAAAAAAAAGGAGAAAGAAAGCCAGGCACCAGTGGCTCACGCCTGTCATCCTAGCTACTGAGGAGGCTGAGATCTAAGGATCACAGTTCAAAGCCAGCCCAGGCAACAAAGTCTGTGAAACTCTTATCTCCAATAAACTACCAGAAAACCGAAGTGGCACTGTGACTCAAACGGTAGAGCACTAGCTAGCCTTGAGCTGAAGAGCTGAGGGACAGTGCCCAGGCCCAGAGTTCAAGCCCCAAGACCAACCAAAAAAAAAAAGGAGAAAGAATACAATTCATACACTTCTAAATATACTGAATTCCAGAACTACAAAACAAATTCAACGGGCTGGGAAGGTGGCTCAGTGGTAGAGTGCTTGCCTTGTATGCATGACGCCCTGTGTTTGATTTCTCAGCACCACATAAGCAGAAAAAGCCGGAAGTGGCACTGTAGCTCAAATGGTAGAGTGCTAGCCTTGAGCTGAAGAACTGAGGGACAGTGCCAAGGCCAGCGTTTAGACCCACAACACACACACACACACAAATTCAAAGCATGAACTCACACACACACACACACACACACACACACACACACACAAATTCAAAGCATGAACTCACCAAAAGTTGCAGCGTTTAGACCCACAACACACACACACACACAAATTCAAAGCATGAACACACACACACACACACACACACACACACACACACACACACACACACACACACACACACACACACACAAATTCAAAGCATGAACTCACCAAAAGTTGCAAGGCCACACACTCTGGTCACATATTTCTTCTTTGCTCTGGGAATTTTTGCTATAGTAACTTTTTGTGGTACGGTCTTCTTTTTCTGTTTGATTTGACCTCTTCCACCTTTATTAAGTAAGAGCTTGTGGTTATTTTTCTATTGTTAATATTATAGGATACTAAGTCTTCTCATGTAGGTTTATGTTCCTTTTCTCTAACACACAATCATATGCATATTCTTGGTAAACATTTATTAGGTACCTACTCTGTGCCAGGACTGCACTGAGGACAAAGAACACAAAGATGAACAGAATGTAGTCCTTATCCCCTACAGAAATGCAGTCCAGGTCCAAGGAGACTGAAAAGAGCTAAAGAACAAGGTAATCAGATTCACAACACAGCAAGACTCCGGAAGAGGGCACTGCTACCGCTTCTGAGAGGAACAACTACATCTGCTTTCAGAGAACAGAAAAGGTGTCCCAGGGAAGGGGCAGCTAAGAGGAGGCCTGGAGAACAGGGAAGGGTCCAGGCGAAGGGAAAGGGCTGGAAGGTCTGAGCCTGAATGTTAGGCTACACATGGTGGTAGACACCTAAATCCCAACTTCTCAGGTTCATTCATGGTTCTCACTGGCCCAAACAATGCAAAACTTGTTCAGATCCAATCTCAGAAACAAATAAATAGGGCTGGGAATGTGGCTTAGTGGTAGAGAGCTTGCCTTGCATACATGAAGCTCTGGGTTTGATTCCTCAGTACCATATAAAGAGAAAAAGCTAGAAATGGTGCTGTGGCTCCAGTGGTTGAGCACTAGCCTTGAGTGAAAGCTCAGGGATAGTGCCCAGGCCCTGAGTTCAAGCTCTATGACTGGCAAAAAATAAATAAAGCCAGGTGCTGGACACCTTAATCCTAGCTACTCAAGATGCTGAGATCTGAGGATGGCAGTTCAGAACCAGCCTGGGCAAAAAGTCCATGATATTCTTATGTCCAATTAAAAGCCAAAAAGCTGGAAGTAGAGTTCTGGCTCAAGTGGTAGAGTGCCAGCCTTGAACGAAAATAAGGTAAGAAATACCTAGTCCAAGTTCAAGCCCTAGTACCATCACATTCAAATACATAAAAGCCAGGTAGCAGGTACCATACACCATGCTTGTAATACCAGCTATTTGGGAAGAGAGGATAGAAAGACTGTGGTCTAAGACTGGCCCAGACAAAAAGTATTAATACGCTATGTGAAAACATACATAAAGCAAAAGAGCAAGAAGACTGGCTCAAACGGCAGAACGATTGCCCAGCCAAGTGCAAGGCCCTGAGTTCAAACCCACTTAAAAAAAAAAATTGAGGGGGGCTGGGAAGTTGGCTTAGTGGTAGAGCACTTGCCTTGCATGCCTGAGGCCCTGGGTTCAATTCCTCAGCACCATATAATCAAAAAGAAAAAAGCCGGAAGTGGCGCTATGGCTCAAGTGGTAGAGCACTAGCCTTGAGCTGAAGAGCTGAGGGACAGCGCCCAGGCCCAGAGTTCAGGCCCCACAACCGGACCCCCAAAAAAAAAAAAAAAAAAAAAATTGAGGGTAAGGGAGTAAGAGGTAAGAAAAGGCACGATATTTGGTCTTCAGGGAAGAACGTTGATGGGTACGCAGTGGAAGTCAGAAGAGCACAGGATTATACGAAGTCATCAAGGGACTAGAACATCAAGCTGTGGAGGAGGGATGTCATCCGGAGGCTGAAGAGTAGATAGCCAGATTCACGTTTTACCACTTCAACTACAGTGTGAGGGGCTGCACAAGTAGGTAGAAAGGCACCAAGACAACTCTGATCAGACAGAAGTCACACACAGCCAGGAGACAGAGCAGAAAGGCGGAGGGGCTGAATTAAAGAGTAGAGAAGCCTAACATGGCTTTCGTTTCTGGCTCCTGTGACAGGGTAAACTGTGCAGCCAATATGGGAAATTAAAGAAGTCCATTTGGGACTTAGTAATTGAATTTTGGAGGGGCTGCATCTGCAGTGCCTGTGGGAACACACACATTTCTCGCCTAGAGACACAGGCCAGGGGCAGAGATCCAGATTTGGAAATGCCAAGTGTGCAGGGTTACAGGGAGACACTCCCACTTTTAAAGAAGAGCAGGAAAAAAGGAAATCTACAGAGAAAACCAGGGAGGAAAATGCTTCAGAAACCAGAGGAGGCCATACTTGAGCAGAGAAAAGGGCCAATTGGCCTTTCTTCATCGCCACTGCCAAGCAAACAGCGAGGACATTTATCAGAACAATTTCAACGTCAAGCCAGGACAGCACGGAGTGAACAGAATGGGAAGGAAGTGGTGGGACTTGTCTCAGTAAAGACACCAGGCCAAGAAGGGAAGTACAGACATACATGAGGTCCCGGGAGTTTTTAAAAGAAGCAAAATCCAGGTGGGCGCCAGTGGCTCACGCCTGTAATCCTAGCTACTCAGGAGGCTGAGATCTGAGGATCACAGTTCAAAGCTAGCCCATGCAGGAAAGTCCGTGAGACTCTTATTTCCAATAAACCACCAGAAAACCGGAAGTGGCGCTGTGACTCAAGCAATAGAGTGCTTACCTTGAGCTAAAGAGCGCAGGGACAGTGCCCAAGCCCAGAGTTCAAGCCTCATGACCGACCAAAAAAAAAAACAAAAAAATCCCAGAACTTTTTAAAAGCTAAGTTTAATAATAGGAACCCACAATTAATGAAGAGATATGCAAGGATAAGTTACAGATGATGGGAAATTAACTTCCTAAGGAGAAGAGAGATAAAGGCTGGGAATGTAGTTCAGTGGTAAAGAGCTTCCCTAGCACATTCCAGGATCTGGGTTTAATCCTCAGGTGCTGTGGCTCAAATGGTAGAGTGCTACCCTTGAGCAAAAGAAGCTCAGGACCAGTGTCCAGGCCGCAAAACTGGTTAAAAAAATATATTTTATGGGGCTGGGAAGTTGGCTCAGTGGTAGAGTGCTTACATGCATAAGGCCCTGGGTTCGATTCCTCAGCACCACATAAGCAGAAAAAGGGAAGAAGTGGTGCTGTGGCTCAAGTGGTAGAGTGCTAGCCTTGAGCTGAAGAGGAACAGTGCCTGGGCCCAGAGTTCAGCTCCCATGACGCCCCGCCCCGCCCCCTCCCAAAAATACAGAGAGATATATATCTTATACTACATTAAAAAATGTAAATAGGACTGGTGGCAGGGCTCAAGTAGTAGAGTGCCTTTGTAGCAAATATAATACTATGAGTTCAAACTCCCCCCAAAAATAAATATAAAACAAAGATTTAAGTCTTACCCCTCTTTTGTTTTTTCTTTTCCTCTTCTTCTCCTATTGTCCCTTGACCTTCAGTAATTCCAGTTTCTTGTTTGGGTGAATTTTCTATGTAGAAAAATGAAATCCAATAGCATCAGTATTATTTCATACTATGTTAAAAAAAAAAGGCAATCACCTCTGAGCACATCCATACACAAAGAAAGCATTTTACTAACAACCGAATATAATATTTGTAAAGCAAATGCTCACTAAACTCTCCCCCAGTCTAACTCCAAAGTCTTTACAGTTGTCCCTCCCCCCGCCAGGCCCATGCCAGAGGTTCAGGCCCCACACAAAGCCACTGAGGCGGGGAAATCTCTGGGGGTGAGGGTAGCAAGAACACTTCAGGGTATTGAGGGTGTGCCCTCTGACTTCCTCCACGATGTCTCCTGGTCAGGAAGTCAAACATTTGCTCCATCACATGTTTCTGCCATGACATCCTGCCAGGCTGAAAGCAACAGGACTTACACCTCTGAAGCCGAGAGTCAAAATACACCCTTGAACGAAAAAGCTAAGAAAAAGCTAAGGGAAGGGCTGGGAAGGTGGCTCAGTGGTAGAGTGCTTGTCTCCTATACATGAGGCCCTGGATTTGATTCCTCAGCACCACATAAAACAGAAAAGGCCGAAAGTGGTGCTGTGGCTCAAGTGGTAGAGCACTAGCCTTGAGCTGAGCAGCTCAGGGATAGCACCTAGGCCCAGAGTTCAAGCCCCATGACCAACAAAAAACAAACAAACAAACAAACAAAGGAGAATGCCCAGGCTCTGAGTTCAAGCCCCAGTACCAGCACAAAAGAATAAAACTTTTTTCTGGGCTGGGAAGGTGGCTCAGTGGTAGAGCGCTTGCCTTGCATGCATGAGGCCCTGGGTTCGATTCCTCAGTACCACATAAGCAAAAAGAAAAAAGCCAGAAGTGGCGTTATGGCTCAAGTGGTAGAGCACTAGCCTTGAGCTGAAGAGCTGAGGGACAGCGCCCAGGCCCAGAGTTCAGGCCCCACGACCGGACCTCCCCAAAAAAAAAAAACCAAAAAACTTTTTTTCTTGAAAGCTATTTCAAGTTCTTAGAAAGCAAGTTGACTTAAGTGATGGTTTGTAGTAAGAAAAAACAGTCTTTGTGAGGAGTAGGATTTCTTTAGCCACATGAAATAAGCATAAACACTCAAGCTATGCTAGAGTGTTCTGGGATCCTGACATACGAATCTGTTAACATCTGGTTCCAGATATTCTGTCCCTATACTCCCCTCTGCAAGTCATAAGCATGGCCTAGGAAGACCACGCTCAGAGCCAGCCACGTGGAGGCAGATTGCACCCGCACACATGAGCTCCAGTGCCAGTGCCTACGGTGTGTACACTTTCTACGCATTTCCCAGGGCCTCAGCAGCACCGAGGCTCACGCCATGTGGAATAAACACATCAGCCACATTCGAGCAGGCCAGTTCCCAGCCGCTTCCCTGGTCAATCTTGTCAAGGAGGGCATCCCTAAGTCCACCCTGCCTCCGCCAGCCACAGTAAGTCACTGTGGAAGCTGCTTGAACCACAGCCTTAGCTGCTCTGCTGCAAAAATGCACATCCAGCCCCATCAGCCCTGCTTCCCACTGCCCCCCCCCCACCGCCATGCTGGTCCAGTCGTCACCATCTCCTGACCCACTCCTGGCCTGCTCTCCCTTCTTTTCCAAAAACAGAGCCCCCTTGAGTCTCTTCCCTGCACATCCACAAAAGGCTGTTAGATACGTTCCTCACCAGCTTATCTCGGCCTGAGTGAAAGCCAAGCCTCCACTACAGAATGTACTCTGCTACCCCCTTCCCACCTCAGGTCCAGCTTCCTTCAATCAGCTCCAGACACAAGGCCTCCTTCTTTTTATTATATTTGTACTGATTTGTGGCGCTGGGGATTAAAGCATGCTAGGAAGTGTCTTCCACTGAGCCACAAAGTGTGCTGCACCCCATCTGACTACACTTCACTTTTCTGCCGCAGAGCCCGGGCACTGGCTGTGTCCTCTGCCCGTCAAGTTCTTCCCCTAGATACGGCCCTCAGAAATGCACGCCAACACCATCCTCTCAGCAAACTCATCTGTCCACTTCAAAACTTTTTGTTGTTGTTGTCAGTCATGGGGCATGAACTCAGCCTGGGCGCTGCCCTGAGCTCTTAAACTCAAGGCTAGCATTCTACCACTTGAGCCACAGTGCCACGTCCTGTTTTCTGGTAGTTTATTGGAGATAAGAGTCTCACGGACTTTCCTGCCCAGGCTGGCTTCGAACTGTGATCCTCAGATCTCAGCCTCCTGAGTAGCTAGGATTATAGGCATGAGCCCCTGGCACCTGGCCAAAACTTCTCTTTTTTTAAATGTCTGAGAACAGGACTTGAACTTGGTACCTGGTACTTTCACTCATTAGCTCATGCTCTACAACTGAGCCACACCTAGAAACTCCCCCGTTTTTTGGTGCCAGTACTAGGGTTTAAATTCAGAGCCTCTTCCTCTTAGCATGGGGCTTTTTTTCAATCATGGCTGGAACATTACCACTTGAGCTATGCCTCTCATCTGGCATTTTGTTGGTTAACGGGAGATAGTCTCAGACTTTTCTACCTCGGCTATGGTTTCTCAGCCTCCTGAGAAGCTAGGATTACATGCATGAGCCACCAGTACCCCAACAACTTTTATATTCCCCCATACTTCTCATCACTCTACACCAAGTTTACTTGTTTCCCTTTCTAGAATATGAGTAGCATAAGAGTAGAAGTTTTTGTTTACTGCTTTAATCTCAGAACCTAAAACAGGTTCAGTGCTTAATAAATGTAAACACATACTTGCACCTGAGTCAGATACTCTCTTGTATCAGTTGATACTTAGAGCTGTCCTGTCCTAAGCAGTTTCATACATTTGGTAAAATAGAAAACAATGATCAAAAAGAAGTTCATACCTACAGTAAGTTTTGCAAACTCATTGGGAAAATTCTTCTCTAACCACTGTCTACATTTAGCAACGTCAGGCATATATTCACAGTACTGGGAGAAAAAAACAAGGGAATTGAGTCACCACAAAACATTTCCAACCAATGCATTTTAATTAAAAAACAAACTAGAAAACAAAACCATTTTTTATGCTTGCGTATAAAGATAAAACTACTCCCACCTGATTCCTGATCCACAGGAAATCTGTATCCAAACAGGAAGTTCCCCATAAGAAACTAGAAATCAAGAAGGACTAGGCTACTCCTCTCTGCTGCTGTTTCTTTTCTGTCCATCACACAAAAGCCATTAGGAAAAAGAGCAACAAATTTGCTTTGGGCCCAAAGGGCCTCATTTTCCAAACTTACTCATAGATCCTGACGTAGAAAGTTTTACACGTCATTCACATTGTTCTTTCTCCTACTCAGGCATATAAATTTTAGCTTTAAGGTTGTATTTGCCTCATCATCTGGCTACGCATAAGTTCAGTGACTATACAAAAATCCAAAATAAGCTGGGTGCTGGTGGCTCATGCCTGCAACCTTAGCTACTCAGGAGAGGCTGAGAGCTGAGGATTGCTGTTTGAAGCCAGCCTCAACTCAGTGAGACGCCTATCTTCAATTAAGCACTAAAAGCTAGAAGTGGAGCTGTAGCTCAAGAAGTAGAGTACTAGCCCTGAACCAAAAAAAAAAACCCAAAACTCAGGGACAGTGCTCAGGCCTTAAGTTTAATCCCAGGACTGGCACACAAATAAGACATTTTTTTTGGAAACTCTATTCCCACAGAACTGAAATGGAAATTAAAAAAAAAAAAAAAGCCTAAAATCAAATTAGCAGTGACATCTCAAATACTTAAGTTAAAAAAGAGAATAAAAACAAAAATGAAAGGACTTACCTCTGTTGGTAATGAACAGACTGGAAAAATGGAGAGAAAAAAATTGAAATGTTAAAAACATACACACACTGGATTTATTTCTATACTTAAAGAACTGCTCCGCTGCTATTCTTCCCTCTCCGCTCAGAGATGTTCTCGTTGTTTTTACAAGCACCTCACCCAGGACCTTCCATCTTGCTGCCCCTGGAGCTCAGGGAACAGCCAATCCTTGACTCAGAGGCATCCAAATTCATATAAAAACACAACAGTACCAGTTTTTCTTGAAAGCCTAGTGATGCTTCCTAATTACACACGTACACAATTCTAGAGGCTGCCATTCCTAGAAAACTAACATTTCACTAATTAAGCAGTGGAACCCAGCTGACCTCACTCCACGTCCACTTCAGACAGCTCACGGAGAACCCTCTCTCCCCTTTCCCTAGAAGAGCACCTTCCCATCACCTCCATAACCAATAGTTCCAGATCTTTAGTTCTTGGGTTTCTCTGCTGCCAATTTTGACATATTTGGATTCTTACATTTGGAGAAAACTCACTACATTGGAAAAGCAAACCTATTATCCATCTTTAAATCTAATCAACTGTATCACTTATAAGGGCATACCTGCTTTGCAATGCTTTTCCATTTCACAATACAGAATTGAAATTTTAAAAAGAGGGGCTGGGAAGGTGGCTCAGTGGTAGAGTGCTTGCCTTGCATGCATGAGGCCCTGGGTTCGATTCCTCAGCACCACAAAAGCAGAAAAAGATGGAAGTGGTGCTGAGGCTCAAGTGGTAGGGTTTTCGCCTTGAGCTGAAGAGCTGAGGAACAGGGCCCAGGCCCAGTTCAGGCACCACGACTGATTTAAAAAAAAAAAAAAAGCAGCGAATATAGAACTTATCACTGATTCTTGTCTTTTTTTTTTTGGGGGGTGGGGGTCCAGTCGTGGGGCCTGAATTCTGGGCCTGGGTGCTGTCGCTCAGCTCTTCAGCTCAAGGCTAGCACTCTACCACTAGAGCCACAGTGCCACTTCTGGCTTTTTTCTTTTTGTTTATGTGGTGTTGAGGAATCAAACCCAGGGCATCATACATGCAAGGCAAGCGCTCTACCACTGAGCCACCTTCCCAGCCCAAGATTCTTGTCTTTTTCTACCATTACTCCTTGCATGTATTCCCTGGTAATCATTCTTTAGTTGCTTTTTTTCCCCTTAGTACTTGAACTCTGGGCCTCAAGCTCTTGCTTGCTCAAAAATGAAAACACATTTGGGCGCCCATGGCTCACGCCTGTCATCCTAGCTACTCAGAAGGCTAAGATCTGAAAAGTGGCGCTGTGGCTCTAGTGATAGAGCGCTAGCTAGCCTTGAGCTGAAAAGCTGAGGGACAGCGCCCAAGCCCAGAGTTCAAACTCCAGGACCGACAAAAAAAAAAAAAAATCTAAATATGCAAAGTAAAGGAGAATTCAATGTCACTGTTGAAAGTTAAACATGCCTAGCATTGGTGGCTCACATCTGTAATCCTAGCTACTAAGGAGGCTGAGATCTGCGGATCTCAGTTCAAAGGCAGCCCAGGCAGGAAAAGTCCAAGAGACTCTTACCTCCAATGAACCACCAGAAAACCGGAAGTGGAGCTGTGGCTCAAAGTGGTAGAGTGCTAGCCTGGAGCAAATAAGCTCAGGGTCAGAGCCCGGGCCCCTGAGTTCAAGCCCCAGGACCGACCAAAAAAAAAGCAAACGCTGGGTGCCAGTGGTTCAAAGATATAATCCTAGCTCCTCAGGAGGCTGAGGATCCTGGAGGTCGAAAGCCAATCCAGGCAGGTGAATGTACGAGACTCTTTATCTCCACCATACAGCTGTCAATGGAGCTGTGACTCAAGTGGTAGAGCACCAGCTTTGAGAACAAAAGCTAAAGGACAGCATCCTGGCCTGAGTCAAGTACCAGCACCAAAAAGTAGGGGGCGGGGCGGGGAGGAAGGAAAGAGAGTTTAACCAGCCATATGTGAAACACCACATAAAAATGTGAGTGAAAGCTTTCTGTTTCGCAGACACTCGCCTCCACAGTAGAGGACTCGAAGTGGGTAATCCGCGTCTAACTTGGCGCTGATCCTCGGGTCCCCTCTGCAGTCAGCACCACTGGGTTCAGAAATGTCAGCAGCCATTTCACAGACCTGTAATACAGCACAACACCACAGCGTGCTTCCCGATGATTCTCAACTGATGCCCCCAGCCCGGCCCCACGGCAGCAGGCTCAGGGTGCAGGCTGCCCCGCCCGGCTCTCGGTTCCGTCAGGCGAGGGCTGCGCGCTGCCCTCGAGTCCTACAGTCTGAGCAAGCTCGAGGCTCACCGGCCGAGTCCCGGGGCCCACGAGGAACCAGGCCGCGCAGGACCGCGGGGAAAAAGAGGAAGCAATGGGGGCGACTCCCGGGCGGCGCGGAGGCCGGGGGCGAGCGGGGAGGGCCGCCCGCCGCGGCGAGGGAAACGGGCCCGGCGGGGCACGGGCGGCACGGCCCGGGGCCGGGGGCGGCGGCGAGGCCCCGCGGAGGCCGCGGACGCGGGGGGGGGGGGGGGGGGGGGGCAACGCCGGGCCCGGCCGCGCGGGGCCGGGGGCGGGGACGGGGACGCGCGGCCCGGCCCCCTCCTGCCGCCCGGCCCCCTCCTGCCCGCCGCCCCCTCCCCGCCCGCCGCCCCCCTCCCCGCCCGCCGGCCCCCTCCTGCCCGCCGCCCCCTCCTGCCCGCCGCCCCCACCGCTCCCGGCGCCCCCTCCTGCCCACCGCTCCCGCCCCCCTCCTGCCCGCCGCCCCCTCCTGCCCGCCGCCCCCTCCTGCCCGCCGCCCCCTCCTGCCCGCCGCCCCCCACCGCTCCCGCCCCCTCCTGCCCGCCGCCCCCTCCTGCCCGCCGCCCCCTCCTGCCCACCGCTCCCGGCGCGCTCCCCCCGGGGCGGGCCCGGCGCGAGGGCGCGGTCGTTACCCGGGCGGTCGCACGGCCCCCGCCGCCTCCGCTCCCGCCCGCCGAAGCGACACATGCAACTCCTCTTTCCTGGCCAGGGCCGCCGGAGAGCCGTCTACCGGGTACGCTCTCGCGAGACTCTAACATTCTCTCGCGAGGTTCAGGCCGCCGCTCGGAGGTTCTCGCGAGAAGCTGGGGACGGGGCGTGGGGGGCGGGCGGAGCGAGGCTCGGCAGCGTGCGTCGTGCGTGGGGAGGCGGGGCCAGGCAGCCGGCAGGGGGGAGTGGCGGGGAGCGGCGGGGAGGCGGCGGGCCGGCAGAGGGCGCCCGCTGCCTGCTGTGGAGGTGGGTGCCGCTAGGGGCGCCGCTGAGTGCGCCGGCAGCGGGGCCCGGCGCGGGGGTCCGCCCCGCAGCGCGGCCCGCACAGCCCCGCGGTCATTCGCGCCTCTGCGTGCAGACTGCCGTGGGAGCTCAGCGTCAGACCCTCACTTAGAGGAATGTGTTTTGACTTTACGGCCTTGTTGTTTTGTTCCGTGATTTTCTTTGTCAAGCGGGGCTCTCTGATCTCAGCACAGCCTGGAACTCACGGTAGCCCAGGCTGGCCTCAGACTCACGAGCCTCCTGCCCCCCAGCCTCCAGAGCTGAGGGAGGAATTCGTCTTGATGAGATCATGTAAGGACAACTTAAGGTTCCCCACGGTTCACGATCTCACCATCTCACGCAGCACCCGTTTGGGGCTTATCCTGTGTTCTCAGTGGAATCTGCCCCTTTGGAGGCGTTTCTCTCAGAAGTCAAAGGTGCTGTGTGCAACCCACCCACACGTGCTGTGTCTTCGTTTTGCTTTCTTCTGCTTCACTATTTGGGGAGAATTTCTCCATGCACATACTCATCCTGAGTCCTGTGTGTGAAACGGGGAAGACAGCACCCAAAGAGTGCTTTGCCGGGATTGGAGGTGTGGCTCAGGGGGTGGAGCACCAGCCAATGAGTGAAAACAAGCATCAGATACTGAGTTCGAGTCCCGGTCTTGAAGGGAAAAAAAAAGTCCTTTGCACATAGGGAAGGTTGTTCTTTGCTATTTTGCATTAGTCTCCACTGACACTTGCAAAATTCTCCACTTCCAACTTGACCCTCTACTACCGAAACCCCTTGAATTGTCTTTCTTTCTTCGTGTGTGTGTGTGTGTGTGTGTGTGTGTGTGTTGCATGCGCATGCCAGTCCTGGGGCTTGAACTCAGGGCCTGAGCACTATCTCTGAGCTCCCTTTTTTGTTTTTTTTGTTGGTCATGGGGCTTGAACTCTGGGCCTGGAGGCTGTCCCTCAGCTCTTCAGCTTAAGGCAAGCGCTCTACCATTTGAGCCACAGCAGCACTTCTGGCTTTTTCTGTATATACGGCACTGAGGAATCGAACCCAGGGCTTCATGCATGCTAGGCAAGCACTCTACCACTAAGCCATATTCCTAGCCCACCCCTTGAATTTTCTTTCTTTTTTTTTATTGTGAAAATACCATACAGAGGAGTTACAACTACATGGGCAAGATAATGAGTACACCTCTTATCAAGCATTGTTGCCTCCTCCTTTATTTCCCCTTCCTATCCCTTCCCATTCCCCCCTCCCCCCAGTACCATGAATCATTGTACACGATGCTGGTGAACTACTTATCTGGCACAATCTTTTCTCTCAGAGATGTATCCGGTATAACCTTCACTTTGACACCTTTACTCTTTACATTTTATTTGTTCATTTATTTTTTGTGCCAGTAATGGGCCTTGAACTCATTATCTGGCTGTTGTCTCTTAGCCTTTTCTACTCAAAACTGTCACTATACCACTTGAGCCACAGCTCCACTTCCAGTTTTGGACTGATGGATTGGAGAAAAGAATTGGATCTATCTGCCTGGACTAGCTTTGAACCTTGATCCTCAGATCTCAGCCAAGGCGAGTAGATTTCAACTGAGGCCAGCTTGGGCTACATAGTGGAGCTGACTGTGTCTCAAAAACTAAAGAAAGCCAGGTGCTGGTGGCCTATGCCAGTAATCCTAGCTATTCAGGAGGCTGAGATCTGAGGATCATGGTTTAAAGCCAGCCTGGGCAGCAAAGTCCATAAGACTCTTTTTTGTTTGTTTGTTTGTTTTGTCAGTCGTGGGGCTTGAACTCTGGGCCTGGGCATTGTCCCTACACTCTTCAGCTCAAAGTGAGCACTCTACCTCTTGAGCCACAGCATCACTTCCCATTTTCTAGTGGTTTTTATTGGAGATCAGAGTCTCAGGACTTTTCTGCCTGGGCTGGCTTTGAACCGTGGTCCTCAGATCTCAGCCTCCTGAGTAGTTAGGATTACAGGCGTGAGCCACCGGCACCCAACAAGTCCGCAAGATTTTTTTTTTTTTTTTTGGTCGGTCATGGGGCTCGAACTCTCAGCTTGGGCGCTGTCCCTGCACTCTTCAGCTCAAGGCAAGTGCTCTACCACTTAAGCGACATCGCCACTTCCGGTTTTCTAATGGTTTATTGGAGATAGGAGTCTCACAGTCTTTCCTGCCCTGGCTGGCTGTGAACCTTGATCCTCAGATCTCAGCCTCCTGAGTAGCTAGGATTACAGGCGTGAGCCACCAGTGCCAGGCCCATAAGACACTTATCTCCAACAAACCACCAGAAAATCAGAAGTGGCTCAAGTGGTAGAGTGCTAGCCGTGAGCTGAAGAGAAGTGACAGTGCCGCCTAGATCCAAAGTTAAAGCCCCATAACCATTTAAAAAAAAATAGTGAAGCCAGGCTTTCTATTGTACTGATACCATCAGAACAGCAGGTATTTCCTACCACAAGAGGGGAATGTGTGGTTAAGCTTCGCTTGCCTGAAGTCAGAAAATAAAGGGGAGACTTGATGTCAAAACTATAGACCATTTCAGTAATTAATTTTTTATTAGTGAAATATGGTTGTCAGATGGTTGTCTGCGAAAGTAGAGGGTTAACTACAAGTTTTATATTATGTCTTAAATGGGGTAAGTGTATGTTAGTATTTAAGCTGACTCACAGGTACATTATTATTTTTGGGGGGGGGGGGGGTCCGGTCATGGGGGCCTGAACTCTGGGCCTGGGCACTGTCCCTCAGCTTTTCAGCTCAAGGCTAGTGCTCTACCACTTGAGCCATAGCGCTACTTCCGGCTTTTTTCTTTTTGCTTATGTGGTGCTGGGGAATCGAACCCAGGGCCTCGAGCATGCAAGGCAAGCGCTCTACCACTGAGCCACTTTCCCAGCCCCCACAGGTACATTATTTATAATTAGGATTCTCCATTGGTCACAATTCTTCCCTCTGACTGCTAATTCTGTTGATCTACAATTATTTGTGATTAGAACTTTTTTTCAGTCTTGAAGTTGTATTCTAAGTTAATATATATTTAATTTTTAATTGGACTGGTCATTGGAAAATGTTGTCATATATAAGTGAATAACCTTGGAATAATTCTGTTTTTTAATAATTTTTAGGGTTTCTGTCATTATAACTTTGGTCAAATCATTTTTACTTTGAAATAAAATATTACCTCTGAGATCTCAAAAAAAGAAAAAAAAAGAGAAGCCAGGCTTTCTATTGTGCAGATGGTTTTCTGAACTGATACCATCAGAACAGCAGCTATTTCCTACCACAAGAGGGGAATCTGTGGTTAAGCTTTGCTTGCCTGAAGTCAGAAGATAAAGGGGAGACCTGGCTACCGAATGCCAGGGGAAATGATGTTGCAAGGCTGGTCATTCAGCAGCGGCGGGAGGACAGGGCCGTGTGACAGTCCCTTTCTCACAAGTCTTCTATGCATGAGAAAGACAAAGTGTGCCCAGTGATCCTTGCCTTCTTTAACGTGACGCTGTATCATAGTGTCCTCCTGACTGTCAAGAAATCATGGGTTTTAGTTATCCACTCGGGCTGGATTTGGCCCTGCATCAGATGTTTTTCTTTCACCTGACTCTTTGGGGAATTTTTCAAAATGACCGGTTGGGGGGGGTGAAACAGATATTTGTTGATTGCCTTTCTATCATTCCTTCTCAATAAAGAGTCCTACATCCTACCCTTGTTGCTTGATTGAGCCTTTATAACTCCCTTTATAAGATGGATCACATGGCCCGGGTCTAAGCCAATCAGCACATTAGCTTCAGCTGGCAACAGTGATTGAGTCTAGGGTAGGTGGACCAGAATAATACAAGGTTTGGAGAAAGTTCAATTTAAAAAAAAAAAAAAAAGGCTATTTTCCTCTGGATTTGGGTCTCAAATGTACAGTGAAGCCACTGGCAGCCATTTTGCCACCATGAGACCAGAGAATAGCGTCGATATAACAGCAAGCAGAGGTGAGAGGAGCGGCCCGCTGGCGCCTGGCTGCAGGCTCACCTGCAATCAGCTCTAATCCTGCACCTGTGGGCTGTGAAACCAACAAATTCTTATTTCTCGCTTAAGCCAGTTTGGACGGAGGCAGCTTTTACTCAGAGTTTAGTCCTAGTGGACACAAAGGATTAGGGGTGAGGTAGCCCAAAATAAAGCAGCCCTGACGGAGGCTTGTGACTTGCTCTAGACAGTTCCTCAACATGTCCTCCCAGCTGTGACATCCACTTCTTCTCCCCCACAGAACATAACCTTGTAAGTCAACATGTCTACGCAAAGATTGTTTCTACTCACCGACATCCCAGAAGCAGACAGGGCCTCGCCTCACCCACCGCGGGGCTGCTGGCTCCTGGGTCTTCCGGCCCGTGCTCTGCCCTGGCCAATCACAGCAGAGTGGGCTCGGTCACGTGCTCAGACCTGAACCAATCACAACAGAGCTGGCCTGGTCACTCTGGCCGAGGGGGTGGGGCTAACCCCTGGCCAATCCGCAGCGAGGGCATGGCGGCCAGGCCGAGCGTGCCCGGGATGGGGCGGGAGCGGGCGTGTGGGGTCCCCGCGTCTGAAGGAGGGCGCACGGAGGCCGGGAACGCAAGCCAACCAGAGCAGGCAGCCCGCAAGGCCCCGCGGGGCCCCGCGGGAGCGAAGCCGACGTGCGGGGCCGGCCCGAGCGGGAAGAGAGTGCCACGTGCCGGGGCGGGCGGCCATCTTGCTGAGGCAACGGGGAACGCCTCTGCTTGGCTCACGCACATCCCTCCCGGAGCCCAGACCCCTCGCAGTCATT